CGGATCACCAAGATTCATCATCCGATGCACCCAAGGACACTAACGCTGCGGGAGATGATGACTTTTGGGGTAGTCTCAGCGGTGGCAAGGACAAGAACGAAAGCAATCTTATGCCGGACTCCATCGAGGAGCCTAATCATGATGATATCTGGGGTTTCGCCAGCAGCTCAAAGAAGAATAAGAAGAAAGGAAGCAAGAATGTCCCCGTCGAGATCGAGGATGGTTCTCATCTTAAAGGTGTTAAGCCCGACTCAGTTGAAGACAGCAAAGGACTTGAATATTACGAATGGGGTTGGGGAAAGTTGAACAAGGGCAATAAGTCATCTCCACCTCCAGCACCTACGCCACCCTCTTTAGATATGAGTTTGGATGGCCAGGAGCTCGAGGAGAACGTCTGGGATGATCCGCAGGCCGAGGAGGGCGAGAAAGCGGCCGCGGAGGAGGCAGCGGCACTAGCGGCCGAGATTGCTGCTGAAGAGGAAGAGCTTGCTGCGCTTACAGCTAAGAGCAAGAAAAAGAAGAAACTCAACAAGAACGACCAGAAGAGGCTGAACGAGCTCACGGACAACGCCAATCGTCGAGAAGAAGAGAAGTCTGCCAAGGAAGCCGAAGAAGCGGCCCAACTAGAAGCCGAAGACAGAGCGGCAGCCGAAGCCTTAGAGGCGGAGGAGAAAGCTGCAGCCGAAGCTCGAGAAGCCGAGGAGAAAGCCGCTGCAGAGGCGCTCGCAGCCGAGATTGCCGCCGAAGAGGATGAAATCGAGGTGCTGACGGCCAAGAGCAAGAGAAAGAAAAAATTCGCCAAGAACGACCAGAAGAGGCTCGATGAACTACTCGAGAAAGCCCAGGCTCGTGCCGACGAGAAAGCTTCTCTTGACGCCGACGAAGCCGCACAGGCAGCCGAGGAGCAGGCAGCTAGAGAAGCAGAGGAACAGGCAGCACAGGAGGCTGAAGAGGAAGCGGCGCGAGAAGCTGAAGAGCAAGCTGAACGCGAAGCTGAGGAACAAGCTGCTCGGGAAGCTGAAGAACAAGCTGCTCGGGAAGCTGAAGAAGAGGCAGCCCGCGAAGCGGAAGAACAAGCTAAGCGCGAACGCGAGGAGGCTGAAGCAGCGACTAAGAAGAAAGGGAAGAAGAGCTCCAAGGCTGACGAAAAGAAGTCCAAGTCTAGCGGCAAGGATAAGCTGTCTAAGAAGGAGAAGGAGAAGGAGCAGAGAGAGAAGGAGCAGAGAGAGAAGGAGGAGAGAAAAAGGGAAGAAAGAGAAAGGGAAGAGAAGGAAAAGGAGAAAGACAAAAATCACGACGACGACGACGACGATGATGATCTTGACCTTGACAACATTGACTTGGCCCCCGAACAGGTGGACGAACTCTTATCGGGCTTCGCGTCTCCCAAACCAGTAGCGGCGCCGCCACCTGTAAAAAAATCCGATCCATTTTCATTCTGGAGTGCCAAGCCTAAAAGCTCGTCACCCGAACGGGTAAGTAGTTCCAAAAGATTTGGAGCAAGCGAGATTGGATTTGCTGAGTCATCATCACAGTCTCTCGAAGATGCCACAGTCGAGGATGCGCCATCCTCCTACAAAGCTACCACTACAGACGATGACTGGATGAAGCCTAAGAAGACCAAGACTAAGGGTAGCAAACTTTCCGAAAAGCTTAGAAAATTTGAACCAGCCAAAGAAGAGGATAACGATGATCTGATTGATGCGCTGGCTGCGCCGCCGTCGAAACCACGTGTTCCTGTCGCTCCACCCGCCGAAGAAAGATCCTCCAGAGATTTTTTCCCCGGCGCATTCCCAGATGAGCAAGACGAAAACGAAATCGTCGAGATTGTTGACATGGCGCCTCCGGTAGAAAAGAAAAAGAAGAGCAAGAAGAGCAAATCCAAGGCTGTGGAGGTACCCCCTCCACCTCCTGCGGTCTCTGATTCTCCCCCACCTCCCGAAGTACCTATCCCTCCTCCAGCTGCTGCGCCCGAGGTGCCCGAAGCGCCCCCGACTCCTCCTCTAGAGTCGAGATCCTCTAGAAAAGAGCGACCAAAGGTTAATCGCGATGTAGGCGCATCGTGGGGAGCGTGGTCGGCGACACCTCGCAAGGAAGAGAAGAAGCCTAAGCCAAGGTTTGAAGATAAGAGGCCTAGGAAGGAAAAAGAGAAGGAAAAATCATCATCTTCCAAGGGCTCATCCTCCGACAGAGATAATAGGACAGAAGAGCGCCGAGAAAAGAAATCAGCGTCAATTGCCAAGCCGCGCACAAACAGTCTATTTCAGAGTACCCCTCCCATTTCGCGCTCCATGTCGACCCGAGAGAAGCGGCCCGGTATGAGTAAATCGAGTTCTCGTCGGCACTCGGTCGAGATGACGAGCGGTCTCGTGTCGCCGCCACCGGAGGATGTACCTGCAATGTCCACTAAGGCCGCGAAGATATTCGGTGTCGACAAAGCCCCAAAAAGTCGTAGCCGCAAGACCTCCAACCCTCGTGCCCTAGACGAGGAGGAATTCATCATGAGCGGAGCTGCCGACCCCCCTTCAAGCCCCGAGAAACCAACTCGAAGGCGACCAAAGGTAAGATACGCGTGCACCTATTTACAAAACGTGGTGTCGCTAACCTAGTGTAGATGAGACCCGAAGATGACGTTATCATGGTCGACGGAGGAATCCCTGCCGATGCGAATCCTCTCAGACGACCGAATTCGAGTGCTAAGAAAGGATTTGCTGGTCTCTTTGGAGGGCTCAAGTCTACCCCGCGCGCTGATATGCGTCCCGAACCACCACGTCGTCGTAGCACCTATTATACCACGGATGACGATGTCAGACCTGATAAGAGACCTAGACGACCTACACGGGAATATCGCGGCATCGATGTTGATCCGGTAGATGAAGAGAGGGAAGCTCGTCGCGCGGCCCGCCGCGCTAGGAGGGTTGAAGAGAAGGCTGCCGAAGATGCGCGTCTTGCGAAAGAGGAAGAGAGACGTGAAAGACGTAGGAGACAGGAAGAGGAGGCTGAAGCTCATAGACAAGCTGAGCGCGAGGCTCGACGAGCCGAACGCAGAGCTGCGCGAGAACGCGAGGCGGAGAGACTTGCAGTTGAAGCTAAAGAAGCTGAGAGAGCTGAACGGCGTCGGCTTCGCAGGGCTGAAAAGGAAGCCGCCGCCGCGGAGGAAGCGGAAGCGGAAGCTCGACGAGCTGCAAGGGCTGAACGACGGCGGGCGCGGTACGCTGACGCCTCCGAAGATGAGGAAGAGCGCAGGCGGAGGAGACACGAAGCTAGACGCGCCGAGGAAAGGGCAAACCGGAGACGCTCAGCGCCGCCGGTCGACGAATACGTCTACCCACCCGAAAGAGCGTCACGATACGCCGTTGATGGCAGCAGACGAAGCAAACCCGCGGCCTGGCCTCACTCGGGAACGGATTCCTGGGTGAAGGAACACTCCGACGCCGGGCCGCCGCCTGAAGATGGTGGTCCTGTTAATGAGCCACCCCAGGAGGACGACGAGGAAGCTCGCCGTGCCGCCCGTCGTGCTCGTCGCCGTGCGAAATACGGTGACGTCGACGCCGAGGTGGAGGATGATCGGCGACGACGTCGTGCCCGCCGCGAGGATCGGGACCGTCAAGATAGAGACCGTCGCGAGGAACGGGAACGCCGCGATGAAGGTGGACGTAAAGACCGTCGCGTAGGTGGTTCTGACGGCAGTGGCGGCAATGGTGGTAATAGTGGACCGCGTGAGTCTTTCTTCACGGACTCAACGCCTCGGAGCAGCTGGTGGAAGAAGCTCACCGGCTCTTGAGGCTTCCGAATTTTGGTTGGCATGGCGAGCGAGGCTTAGCAATTGGCCATGGGAGGGAGTAATTTCTTGGACGTGTGTCCCTGCTCAATTCGTCGTTCGCAAAGGAGTGTTTGAGTTTGTAACCTCTCACTGGACTGGTTTCCATACCTTCTTCATATATCCTTGGGAATGCTGGTCCCCTTTCTCTGCCGGCATCGTCGCCCTTGTACATGTTCCAGGGGATTACGAGTCTTGAAGGATTTGAGTGTATTGTACTACTGTACGGCACGGCATGGCATGTACAGTGTTTGGGTATGAGATGTCTCTGTGTGTACGAGTGACGTGGCAAGGCTGAACGGGATAGAGGAGAGGGGGGAAGCAAGATTGGGGGATGTTGGATGAACTGGATGCATCTTACCCCCGACGACACCCCGATACTACCCGATTGGATGAGATTTACATGAGATACATATAACATCTACCTAGGCACCTCATGTTTGGAACTACACGATGTTGTAGGAGTTTTTTATTTTATTTATCTAACGTAGCGTGAGCGATACAAACCGATATACCCCCCCTTATTACTTACAGCCTTACGATCTACATTTGGGTATTGGGTACTTTTTAAAGTCAGCATAGCGTAGCATAGCATCACTCGTTAAATAGGCAGTACGAAAGAATTGAAGGAATTCAAGACATTGATGTTTATTCGTTTGTGCCCCGTCGTGATGTGCTTGTGCTTGTCTGTGAATTTGTGTCCTATGTACCTTGATAGGTAGGTCTGCAATATCCTCTACCTCTTAAGCAGGCATCCGTGGATCTGGGACTTGTGCATATCATGCTGTTTGCGTGAACATGGGACTGTTGATATCTCCATCCCTGGAGACTCATGTACGAGGAGTGCCCATGTAGGGAGGTAAGGAGGACTTTACAGACTCGAAGTTATGGACACATAGGTAGAATATATAGAAAAAAAGGAGATAGAAGAAATACTATTAGTATCTGGTGCTTAAATATAAGTACCGGCGTACCGAGATCTCACCTGACACCGCGTTTGCACCACGGGAAGGTACGTTGTCCAAGCACCTACCTAGGTACCTACCTACCTATCCAAGACGCGTCCATCCACACGCGTCCCTCCATCAATTACCCGACCAACAACGGAGGGGGGCTTATAATACATAAAAGTAAACCATTCAAACATCGAAGCAGCCGGCGAGCCACAGCAAAGAATAAAGCATCCATGGAGCAGTAGTATAGCTCATTCCCCTCCCATCACCTCGGGGAAAGGGAAGGACCCGGGTGCAAATCCCGGTGGATGCAGAAATCATCTTTTTGCGACGACGCCTGTTCGAGAGGAGGGCGAGCAGACTTTTTTTTCTCTTTTCTTTTTTTTCTAATTAACTTTCTTCTTTTCTCTTTAGCTTTGTTGTTCATGTACGAATGAATACACACATATAGTTTGATGCGTACCTGTTGTTCCTATGTCCCTCGTTTTCACTCTTTGACATACTTGAGTAAGATGGCCTTCTAGTACCTATGCCTCCTTTTCACATCACATCCCTTCTGATGAAGTTCTCACATCCTACATCTAGATATCGTTCAATTTCAGAGCTACATATACTGCCGCTACCTCTAGTAATCATCTAACTTCATTAATATAAAAAAAACATGTGACAAAATGAGGAAAACCCCCAAACGAAGCTTCCGCCAGGACTGTTGAGGGTAAAGCAAACACACAACATCATGCCAATCATAAATTCGTAAAAAGCACCATGACTATCCCATCCGTGGAATCAAAGCAACCGTCTTCTCCGTGAACATACCACCTCCCATCACAAATCACATTATCAAACAGCCTCCCATCGAAAGGAAAATACTCACACATCTCGCACCAAGAGGAACACCACATAAGAATCAACAGCGGTTGAATAAACAAGCGCCTCGCCACCCCATCTAGTCTACGACAGGGCGGCCAGGTGTATCTCGTTTTCTTGCTTTTGCTACCTACACTCGGGGCAGCCTAATCTGTTGCGCGCGGAAGCGTCATCGTAGACTAAAAAGAAAAGAGAATATGCCAGCCCAGCTAGCCGGTCGTAAACCAGTTTGAGGACATTTCATTTCACTCCCCCCCCCCTAACCCCGGTTAAGACGATACTTGTGTGAAAACCCAAGCAACAAAAAAGAAAAAAGAGGGAATCAATCCAATCCACACCCGTTGCTTTCCTGATATCCTAAACCCCCCCACTCCACCCTCCCGGATAAAAAAAATAGTAAGTAATAATCAACGCCTCAAACTCGCGAGCGACTGCGTGACGAAGACGACGACAGCGCGGTCGAGTTCAATAAGCCTGTAGAACCCAAAAGAAGCGTCATGCCTAGCGGGTAAGCGATGAGGCCTGTTCATGTCCAAAAGCCACACCATATTTTTGTTTAAAGATAAAATAAAAAAAAGCACAACAGGAAAGAAGCAAGAGTAATTTCATATGCCTCGAGTGTCGCCGTGAGTGGAGGGGCTACTCCTGTTTAAGCCCCCGGTTGCTCGCAGGACGCCACTTGTCCCCCCGTTCAAGGCAACCATGGCGCCCATGACGAAGAAAAGGAAAGGAGGGACAAATCAAAAATAACCAAGCAGCCCCGCCCCCTGCCTCTGCAAGCAGTCGCAGCGATGTCTTCGTCATAGCACATTAAAAAGGATATATTGTATATAGGAAGGACCTCGTGGTCTGAGTCGAATTCGTGAGTAGAAGTGTAGCTGACAGTAGGGTTTAGGATGGCGAATGGAAAGTCGGGATGGCATGGCATATGAAGAGCGGAGAGGATAGTTTGATGGTCCGTCGAAGGAGTAGTTGATCGGGCTTAATCTTCGTCGGTAGATGGTTCCTCATCTTCACTGTCAGTATGAAGCTCGCCGTACTTCGCCTTGTATCTCTCGAGCTCAGCTAATTGGATAGCAAGGTTATCGAGAACGACGGCCATGGGGGTTCGGAGATCCTCTAGTGACTTGATTGGGCCACCGCCTATCGCGATGTGGCGCATCGTGAGTGTGGATATGCAAGTCTGTGATTGTGACGAATTAGCAAGCTTGACTAAAGACTCTTTCGTAAGATTCTTGATCCCTACCTCTATACGGCTTACTTGGTGTTCCATGAAGTTAAATAGGAACCGTTCAGTAACCTCGCCACCACGTTGTCTCATACGCTCTAGGAGCTCAGTCTCGGGAGGCTGTAAGCCTCTGCCCGACATCTCTTCCAGAGTACTGCAAAGCATTTCTAGGCGCAAACTAACATTCCATAGAGACCAGATAACCTCCGGATCGAACCCGAGGTCACTTCCGGCCAGCAGCGTGGCGGGCTTCTCAGCAACCTCGGCCGTAGTACTATTATGGTGTTCTATACGTCCGGCGAGGACGTGCGGGTAGAGGGAATAGATATACTCGGGATTCTCGAGGCCCTTGAGCTTCCGTTCGCCCATTTCCTTGACCTCGAAACCTTGCGAGCTGAGCGATTTTAATTCCCTTCTGATCGCCGATGATGTCAGGTCATCATCGAAAGCGTCATCAGAACCCGCAGATCCCACTCGATCGTTCTCCTGATATGTCTCAAGGCAGCGCTGAATCTCCGAAATGAAGTCCGCGGATACAGTGATCTGACCTCCGTCGGCTACGGAAGATATACGGGATGCCTTGTTTACCATCGGTCCGAAGTAGTCCATGCGACGCGTAACAGGATCAATTTCGGCTACCGGCTCACCATAGTGTATACCCATTCGGACTGACAGGCCTCTGAAGATGAGGTTGTTATCCTTGTCATACATCTCTTGGCAGGATACTGAATTGAGAATTTCCGAAGGCCAGTCTACGCTAAGCAGATGAGTCTGAACGGCAAAGCACCACAGCAGTGCTGAGGTGGCAGTTGGGAAAGATACCATGAAAGCATCTCCTTCAGTCTTGACTTCGTACCCGCCTATTCTCCGAAGTTGACGTCGCATAACCTCGTTATGAAGCTTGATCGCGGATCTCATGGCCGAGGGATACATTTCCCACAGATTAGTCGAATTCTTGATATCCGTGAACACGATAGAAGGCTTGTCAGTGGGGGCGGGAACTTCGGCTTCGAGTCTGTGTAGCGTAGAGTCCTGGACCTCGCCCTTCGCCTTTCTGCCTCGCTTGGTCGGATACTGAAATTCGTCTGGGACGCCGGAAGGATATAGCGACATGCTCTGCCCTCTATGCAGACGAGCTGACCGTTCCTGGCGCCGCTTGAGATCAGCAATACTGATCATCATGATCATGATTTTCCCGGTTGCGCCGTAGGCGATGGCAAGATCTCGAAGCTTGTGCGCAGCGCGCATGAGATCGGTTCGCTCTGATCGGGTAACATCAACGATCAGACCAGGTGAGAGGTATTGCCATAGTTCTTTTGTTGCAATCAATATCGTCTCATCCTGAGGCGTAATTGAGGTCTGGGTAATATGAGGAGCTGCTTGCACGGACGGCATCAGATCGACGTAGCCAAAAGCGCGAGAGACGTCTAGCATATCGTTCAGCTTCCCTTGGCGCGATACCCAACCTCCAGCGTCTCGTATCCGTTGACGTTCACTCGGCTCGGCAGGGTCATGCTTCCGGGTGAGTATCTTGTGTGAACCGTCGGATTGGATGAGCATAGCTTGCGCATCACCGACGTTGGCAACATATAATTCCTGAGATTGAAGGTATGCGACCGTGGCAACACCCCCGGAATTGAGATCTTCCTTACTAAGGACCAAAGGTGTTGATGAACCACGATGAGACATCAGCGGTCTCTTCTCGGTGTGCTCGATGGCTACGGTAACAAGGTCCTTGTTTAGGGAGAGAAATGCACGTCTAAGGGCATCAGTAGGGTCCTCGTTCTGGCGCGTCTTTAAACCCTTCAGCTCCATCGTGAAGATGTGCCCAAAATTCTCGTGAAGGTATTTTGCTATCTTAGAGCCACCACTAGATAAGGCTTGTCCGTCGAATAAGCCCAGGAGCGTCTCCGAATCCGAGGAGTTGAATCTTGGAACGACAAGATCGATAGTTGACAGGTGCTCATTCTTACCCAACGTATCAGCCATGCCGTACGGTAAGTGACCGGCAAGTGAACCTGAAGTTCTGACACGGCGATCCTCACTCTGGTCCGGAATACTGGGATTCGTAAGAGTGACATCCATCAGTCCGAGTACGCGGAGATTCAGCAATCGACTGAAGTCAGTGTACTGCTCGCGATTTGGGGCCCCTAGACCTAGATTTGTCTGTTTGATTTCCAGACGTTTGTTTCCTGACAAGTTGAGAAACCGTAGGTTTGGATTCAAGTTCCAGTTCCAATCGTACGGCACGTTTGAAACATTGTACTTGAGAGAATTGTTTCCGCAGTCCAATACAGCCAGTTTCTTTGCTCGAGAGATATCCGCCGGCAGGTTCGTAAACTTGTTGTTATTTATGTGAAGCACCTGAAGTAAGCTATACTCCTCCAGATCATCGACTGGCAAACTAGTCAAGTCATTGCCCGACAGGTAGAGCTCCACAAGCTGAGGCCAGTTCTTGATGCAGCGCTGTGGCATATCGCTGAGGTCATTATACGACAAATTGAGAACACGCAATTCCGCCAGAAGCGTGATCTGCTCGCACACTTCATCGTCGAGCTGGTTATCGGCAAGACACAAGTTTCTCAACGAGCCAGCAAACGTGCTGGTGAGACGATTAGAAAGCCCGGAGTCTTTTCTCGATGTTGCGGCGGGGGTCATAGTCCCATTAACACTACTAGCGGTCGTGGATCGTGAAACGACCGAAGTCTTTCGTCCTCCCTTTCCGTATACCGAGACAACAGAGCCCTTCCGGTCCGATCCGGAAGGGACAGGTGAAGGCCCGACACTGAGCAACGTGCTCGACGCTTGACTGGGCCGACGTGACCCATCAGGCATAAGGTCCTCGGAGCTAGACGTTTGAGATAAGGGCCCAGTCGGTGCCTTGTTGTTGAGAGCAGTGGTGCCTGAAGATTCCCCGGGTACTTGAGGCGGGCGTGAAGCAGGCTTCGGGAAGTTGTCCAGCACATTGGAGGAGGCATTCAGTGTTTCCAATTTGTTGGCCCACCATATTTCCATTGGCAACTTCCTAATGTTGTTTCCTCTAATGTCTAGGACTCTTAACTCATTCAAACACCCGATTTCTGGGGGTAATTCTCCCACCGAATTGTGAGCTATGCTGAAGTGATCTAGCCTCCTCATGTTACCAATGGTATTAGGTAGAGATACGAAGTAGTTTCGGTCTAGAACAAGCCTTTCTAGATTAACCATGTTATTGAACG